TAAGACTCATTTTCCGTAAGAAAAATGAGTCTTCTGCAAGACTCATTTGTGAGTAAGAAAAGAGTCGTAGAGAGGAAATTATGTTTATAAAAATCCCAGAGCTGCTGCAGCAACATTTCCCCTCAGTTTATTTATGTACCTACAGCATAGTTTCCCTTTTATGGGCTGGTCATAGCTTTTGCTCTATCATTCATCTTCTGACTCACTTTTCCTCTCCTTCCCGTTTGTCATTTTTTTGTTTGGATCCAGTTTTGTTTTTTTGTTCTTGTTTTCTGTACTTACTCACCCACCCTCGTGTTTTTACTTGTTTGCATTTTTCAATCTGCTGTTTGTTTCGTCTGTTTCAGCATCTCTTTGTTTTTTCTCCATACAGAGGCCGTATTCCCAGAATGTGACTGTAAACAGCAGGAGTAATACTCAGCTACACAAACATGCTCATGGTGGGATCAAAGTTTATGTCCAGTAATGAGCACTGGTTCTGTTATTTTCCACTTGATCTGTTTGTTTCTTTTCCTGCTCCCTGTGACACTCTTCTCCACACCTTCATCCCTCTCCTCCGTCCAGATTATTTGTGTTTCAAGTGTGAGGAAGGTGAAACTCTGTTCTGTTGCACAGATATCAGACCAGGGAATAGCTTAACTCAGGTGCTCCCGCTCTTCTGTCCTAAAAGGATTTTTCACTGATCCTAAACACAACTTCCTGAGAATTACTCACATTTGAAATGCAGATGAAAAAGAATGAAACAGCGAGGCTATCTCCAAGTCAGCATCTTTGCATTCTTACATTTCCTAAGATTACACTTTGAAATGACCCGTAAAGGCTGAGTCTGCTTTCTTAGTGCAGCCCACTTGCCCTGGACTAGAATCTGAGTCCACATATAAAATGTTATTGTAATTTCACTGTGGACTTTTATTTTATTTCCTTCAGGCGAATGCTCTTCAGGATTGAACTATATTTTGACCTCACAAAGAGGACTGAATGCTAATGTGCTGGTTTTTAAATGCAGTGTTGGGAAGGTTACTTTTAAAATGTATTCCATTACAGAATACAGAATACATGTCCCAAAATGTATTCTGTAACGTATTCCGTTACGTTACTCAA